CAAATCAGTCACAAAAAAAAAAAAAAAAATATATATCAATTGGTACGTCTTTGCTTAAAGAGGAAAATTATTTAATATCTCTGTAACCGGTTGTCTGATTCATTCAATTAAAATCTTTGTGATATTATCTTATAGGTACTAGAAATAATACCGTCCAAAGATCATTACTTTGGTAAAAATATGATGGTTGTACGTAAAAGCCATTTTACTACGTTTTTATATTATTAGATGGCAAACGAGCAAGCGGCTACCTGACCTACTTTGGCTACCTTTCATAGACTAAAAGTACAGAAAGAGGATATCATCTTCCTAAGCGAACCCTGTTGTCATTAGACCATTCCCATTTCTTCCTTATGACAAAACGATAAGGGGAAATAGAGTAATATCAAGTCTCCAGCATTTATTTACCGAAATGCAGAATGACTTCCACTTTTCGCCTATCAGGTGATCGTGATATAGCATCAGGCGAACCTGCACGTGTGCATTAGTTATATCTCTACCACTGTTAAATCGTCGTATTTTAAATGCAGTAAAACCAGTTTGTTGTAGAATATTTCTTTGCTATTTCCTGTCCCTTATTGATCTCGGTATTGTGATGAAACTACATAAGCCAATATTACTGAGCTTAGATTGAAACGGAATGAACCATGTTCAGTAAAACCATTGGACCGTATAGTTTAGTCCGTTACATTTTTTATAAGGTACGATTAATATTTAATTATAACGGTTTAACAGTCTATTAACTGTGAGTGGTTCACTCAACAAGTGATAAACTCACTTCAAAAGAAAACAAATGACGTAAACCCTTTCGTCGATCAACGTCGTACTCAAATATCGATCACACCATTAGAAGTTGATATTCTGGCAGTTTAAAAGAACATATTACAAAACATGTTGGCTCTATTAGGCAATGTATTTTGTCAAATATTTAGGTAACAAAAAGTTTGGACAGTTCTACAATAAGGACATTTTAGGTAAAGGTTTCCTGTGGTATTGTGATGTTCTACATTTCTTTCTTTATTTAAGTTTGTGTTATTTTCATAGCAGTAGTAATTCTCATAGAAATAATAAACATGAATCTGTTGTCAGGTATATGTTTATTAACATAGTTATATATACACTTTTATAGTATTTTCAAAATAGAAACATATTTAATAGTCAATAAACAAAATTAAAAAGAAAAAATGTGGCATGAAATAAAATGTGATGATCACGGCTAAATCCTGGCAGTCGCCATTACGGCTTGTAAAAAACTATATACAGCAACTCAATATACAATTATCTTTTTGTTGCTCAAATATTATATTCCTTTAATATATATTTATCACAAGTAATGTAAACATAAATAAATTATATGTCAACTCAGTGTCTCGTTTAGTTATTCTTTCAAGTATATAAAAAACAATGTCAAACAATTCACTATCTGATCACATGGTCCACTGTTGTGCTTCAAACGCAAACTATAGTTTTACCATTACGTTTGTCTCGTAACCACATCAGACACCATCTTACACAAATCCATGTCAACTGACGACACATACATGTCTGGTTAATTTCGTCTTCGAATTAAAGTACGTGAGTTTTTTAATTTGATACACTATTGAGAAGCATTCACAAAAGTGACCGGACACAAATCACCTCAATCATGAATATCACTCACAAATTTATTCATCGATAATATTCCATGCAACAAATCCGTTAAACTTAACAAGATAATTCACATTTTCCACTAGTTCATGAGTAGTGTAGAACACTTGGATCCTGGGCTAGTCCGCATCTCCATTGGTCACTGTCAACGGTTCCTCTTCTTCATTGTAGTCGAGAGAGAGCACGGAGGCTCGTCTCCGCTTGCCGCGCGGTGCGTCGCTGCACTCGCTGCCCGAGTACGCGCGCTTGTCCGGCGAGCATGCTCGGTTGCCGTTCACCGCGGTGTGCGCGCGCAGCTCGCGCTGCAAGAACAACACCGTGCTCTGCATACCTTCCACATCTTCATCTAATTCTTGTAGGAACTCATCTAATTCTGAAATACCATATACAGTGTGTTAAATAATTTGTCACTTATGTTAACCCTTTCTTGACACAAATTTCAATGAAAACTAATATTTTTTAACTTTTCTGACCTATTAAAGGTTTACTACTTATAAATGAAAGCAAAAAAACTAAAATAATACAAGGAAATAACCTATTTTTTAATAAAGAATGTATAAATAAAACTTTTTAAAAACATAAGCATAAAACACCAAAAAATATCTACTTTTGAACAGTGAAATTATATATAAAAAATTCAGCATATACACATAAATATGTTATTTTAGAATGTACCTGATTGTGATTTCTTTACTTCCTCACTAAAACTCTTCTGTAACGCAAGATCACCTTCAAGCTTAGCTATCCGGCCACTCGAGGTCATCCTGCCTAGGTCTTCATTCTCCTGATGCAAAAGTCTACATTTAGCCATTAGTTTCTTCCCTGTATTTGAGTCTGGAGTGAACTTCCACGCTGACAGTTCGTTCTGTGTCTCCTCTAACCTCGCCTTTGTCGAGGTTAGCTCTTGTTTTAATCTTAATATTAATACATTTACAGCCGGGTCTAGAAGTGTCGGCCGACCTTGGAGACTCGCATGTGATGATTTCAATTCGTTTATTTGACTCTGAAAATATATAGTTTACATGTTTTTAACAATTATTATTTTCAGATTAAACAAATCTCTTAAACACTGCATGGTACGTTTCTTAGGACACAAGGTTTTTATTTAACCATTTCAATCGAAATATTAAAAAAAAAGCAAAGGAAAACTTTTTTTTAATCTATTACATAGGCTTTATTTATAACTCATTGATATACCAATATACAATATGTTAGATTAATGAATAATAACTTACTACATAATCCTGAATTTCTTGTTCCTTAGCGGCTAATCGCCTAACAAGTACCTTCTCTCTGTGTTGTGATTCTGCATATTGTTGTTTACTCCTATCTTCTATCTCTTTCGCTTTTTCCAAACTTCCTGTACAAATTAATACACTGCATTAAATTAATAAAAAATTTATAAAAACAGTGAACCCTGTATCTTTATAATAATAATATGAAAACTTAACTGAGATTTTTAGTAATAACAATATTTTTAACAAATATTAGTTTTCATAACAATTGAGCTGTCTTTGTTTCTTTTCTGTTAATTGTACTTTTCTTAGCAATACTCAAGAAGTTCTTTTTAATCCTAATATAGACTTATTTCTAGTACTTATATAATATTGTATTTAAATAATATTTAACCAAAATCGACAACACCTTAACTAAATACATTATCTTAAAAAGTACAATTAAAAAACTAAAATCATATCAACAAAAAAGTCACTGGCCTTTCTATTAATTTTTTTTACAATTCCAAATGTTTGCGAGTTTTAAGATTTTTAAAATAATATACATTGCTTACTAAAGTTTTTATAAAATAAATTAAAACACAAACAAATGAAAATTCCTCATCATTTGTTGTAAATTTTACTTCATTGTAAATATTTCAAAAAGGAATTGTTTACCTTTACTTTACAAAACCTTTAATCAAAACAAGTCCTGTGCCGTCTTGTTGTGCAAGTTCACTTTAGTACATGAAAATTGTATTGGCATTGGCATATTAACTACCAAGTTTAGAATTTTAAGCACACTTAAATTTAAAATCTGTAATATATTTATCACTTGAATATTATCCAGCTTAGATTTAAAAATTACTTATAAACCTTTATTGAAGTAAACTGTAGTTTGCATTTCCGATGTTATTGTTATGTTTTTATATTTGGATATCAAATCTATACTTAGACATTGAACAAATGTGTAAGATAAATTTAATTGTAATGCTGAACACTACTTTTTCTCAAAAATTTATTTGTAATAATACATGCAATTATTAATAAGCAATTGAGCTATATTTTATATTAGGTCACTTATTATAACAACTTTTTATTAGTCGGACCGAGTTAATTTTTTATTTTTGATATATAACATTTTTGTTAAAATTAGTAGTTTTGCCTATAACTTTTTAACAATATAAATGTATTTTAACATTAGGTTAAAATCAAATAGTTGCCGGCTATAAAATTTGATTTTTATATTTAATGTTAATAAGACAGTAACTTTTGTTTTTGGATAAAACTATATTTGAAAATATAAGGTCCTACAATTCAAATTTAAGTAATAATTATGCCAAAATAGTTAATTTATTCTTTTTATTAATTCATATTTTGTGAGGCATTTTTTTTAAATATTAGTAGATTTTTGTTAATTTACTAATATTTCCCTTAACCATTCCAACTAAGCTATAGGCTTGTGCTAAGATATGGGTATAATATACAATAGTCGAATGGCGGGATTCGAACCCTCGATTGCAAGATCGGTAGTCCATACCCCAAACCATTAGGCTATTGGCGCTTAAATGGTCACAATATTTTGGGCTTCTTTTCTAATACTTACAGAAAATTCAGTCACATGAACAAGTTACATTAAGATGTTACCATAAATATAAGTACTTTCTATAGTTATCATGTTAAAATAGCTTAAATTGTACCATCAATATATTAAACAATCCTGACATATTGTTAGGCGCAGTAGTAAATTGGTATAGCTCAATAAAAAGTAATTAAAACGGTAATAAGCCATTTCTTCTTAGAAACAGCTCAAGATAAGCTGCATGCACAGTAACACCCCCTACATCTCTTTTTAGCATGGTACAACTAAAATTATGTTCTACACATCAACTTATGTAAATTTCCTAGCTGCTAAGCTTAATAGCTAATACCTATGTAATGTTCTTCCTTAAATCTGAGTTTCCACTACTAAAACACCTTTACAAAAACTTGCCATTCCTCTCAATGTCTTTGAAAAAATTGGATGTCTGTATGTCGGTTTGCATATAAAAAACATGTCTCAAACCTTCAACTTATGACTATTATGCCATATGCATGCTCCAATCAGGCAGAATGTGACAGTTATGCTTTTCCTAGCTCTGATGACAAATTTTATACTGGTGTTTCAACAGGGGGAAGTTATAGTTACATTCACGTGAAGAACATTTATAAATCAACTTCATGTATAGCTATAACCCTAGATGTATAAGTGGATACAGTAGTAGTAACAGGAACTAAGGTTTCCGCTACTCCACGGCCGGCAAATATTGTGCATGAGGTGAGGTCATAAATTATTCCAACATAGCTAACCAAAGAACCTCAGCAACCCTTTAATGTTGCTGGCCATCTTAGTGAGCCGAGATACCTAATCCAAAATGGATATAATAATTACAATGTCACCAGTGAAGTTGTGTGTGTTGTGTTGTGCTGTTTAAGTAAAAATGGCACAATTTAAATTATTTTCTTACAAGCTGTCATTTTATTTTTATAACCTATATATCTATTATCTATGTATTAGATAGTAATATGCATCCAAACCACCATTTTCCTCTCATTAAGCATTAGGAAATATGAAACAAAATTACAATTAACATGGTTTGTAAATTCAAAAAATATGTAATTTAAGAACAGTTAGTTTTTAGTATGAATTAAAAAAAATTGTCCATTCACCTTAATTTATAAACATTGTCTACATAAGCATTATTTATCTACATAGGTTATAATATACATTTTGTTAGTAGTACTAATACAACTAAAGTTTATAAATATATATACAATGATACATGCATTTGCGATAGACATATTATATAGTTTTGACCATGTACTAAATTAACAATACAACATACTGTTGTTAATATTCTTTTTAAAATGAACATGTTCAATGTTCTTGAATATATGATTTCTATGATTCATATAATGCACATTCAAAAATATGTTGCAAATAAGCATAATTGAAATAAACAAGTGTTAATTTTATTTTTGCAACATATTCAATAATAACAAAAGACCAAGTAAAATAATACAATGGTACATTCTTAGCAAACACAAATTAAACCTTACAATTATAAATAAAGAAAAACATATTTACTTTCTCATGCTGGTAACTAGGAGTGTTATGTATTTTACTCCTATATGATGGTAAGATAACTCCGAAAGCACTGGTGTCACCGCTCCATGTTAACCTGGAGTACGCACTTGAGCCCTTGCCGCAAAGATACATTGCACTTCCACTGATCACTCCACTTGATAAGCTCTGACACAGCATTACACCTTCTTCTCGTAAAACTATCACCTAAGTACACCCCGAATCACATATCTTTTTTGATATAACTAACAATTCAACATCACAGTAACAATTCAAACATATTGTAACAGTATCACTAGATATTTTAGTTAAAGCATTGTCGATATAAGTAACTAAAAAAGTTTGCACAGATGAGGTCGCGTGTCGAACAGACGCCGACCACGACGCTACCAAGCCGATGTAACTTTGTCGTAAATACCTTCCAGCTGTTTGTTCAACGTTTCGAGATGGTCTATGTACAAGTCCTGGTTTGTCCACGCGGCGCGAAGTGACTCAACGCTACTAGAGTCCAATTGATGTGAGGTCAACACCACTCGCGCTGGACTCGTGACGCCATCGCTCGCGCTCGCCGTCTCACCATGCCGATCTGTCTCCTCGGACATTGCACTCTTACAATAACGTAAAGATGATTCTCAACTGTAATGAAACGAAAGCCATTAATTCCGTTACAGATATATATCAAGCATTAGCATTTTTATCCGTTATCAGAAACCTGCAACAATGACGCAAATAAACCTGCCACAACCAAAGAAGTATACTCACGAGTGTTACGTTTGTACTAATATTATAACTGTTACACATTAAGTAATATTTTAAAAGTAAAAAAAACACTGTAAACTGAAACTTTTACTAGTATTTTATAAAGAAATCAAGCAACTCCTACACATTCGACGCCATTTCATCACGTAGCACTTGTTAATGTTGCCAGATGCAGATGCCACTTGTCATCAAAGAATATAAAATGAGTTTGCCAGGATGATGCTCGATGTTTACTACCAATGTTAGGATTGTCACTTACCATTTTTTTGTTTAAATGATCACTGATTACTCCATTTCACCACATCATTTATACGCCAATGTAAGACTTTTTTTTATCAACAAGACGAACAGCCACACTACATTTTTGTTATATCTACGCGGATATGCCTTAGTAACCATTTAACGACTTAACTTGTTGCAACATAAGGTTACTAGTTTAATCGTAAACTATCGTATCTCTTTCAGTCTTATTTTCCATCATGTAATTTATTAGTTAGCACAAGGCAGCAGTTAAAAATTAATTGATATTAAATAGTAAAGAATTTTGGATATAACTCTATTTAACTATCTTAGACTTTCAAGGGAATCCTATCCTAGAGATGTTGATAACAGTAATAATTTCCGTAGGCGGGATTGAAAAAAATCAAATTACTTAACATTTGATTTATTATATTTCAAAAGGTATTATAAATAATACAACAGATAGTTCCTAATAAAAGACAATAAGCCCGTCAAACAACAAACTCGTTCGCCAATAGGCTTAGGCTACAGGTCACAATGAATTTAACATAATATATTCAAACCTGCATATACAAAAGCATACATCCTTTCAGTTGGGCAATTAAAATAACTTTACAGATAAAATAAAACGAAAAGTCATGTGTAATTTTCTATTTAGCTTACATCTAATTAATTAATACTTAACATCAAATTAATGTTTAACATTAACCGATTCTATAATTACAATTATGTATTTAAAATCTATCATTGATTGCAATTGGAATAACTATATCACAATATGTACAAAGGAATGTTTTCATAATACTTAGTATATCTATTAAACTGTCAATAAGGCCGCCACACTTCTTGATTGGAGGCACCATATAGTCCATGTTTAACATCATCTGACGCTTCACAAGTTTGCACAAGTCCGCTCGTTTCTCCAGCACCTTGTAACTCCGTCGTTATAGAGATCCCGCCATCGATGTCACTAATTTTTATTTCGCTAGGGATGTATTGTTCGATATTATGCTTATCGGTAGTGCTGTGCAAATGAACGTGTATTTGATTCTGATTGACGGTTGAGTATAGATTAGGTAGGATCATTTGTGGATTTGGACTGATATACGGCGTGTGTGATTGCAGGCATGTCGGATTGTTGTTTATATTATTGTATTGATAATTGTTGTAATTATAGGTGTTTGTTGGCCAAGAGTTATAGTAGTTAGGTTCGCATCGGGGCTGCGCGCTCATAGGTGCTGGTGTGTGGTTGGTCAGAGGTGGCTGATTGAGATCCGCTATCGCCGGGCCAGGTAAGTTTGGGCTGCTCTTGTAGCTCGTGCTCCCCGTCTGGAAGCCGCTATAGTCCGTATGGCAGAGTGGCATTTCAGGTAATACTGTAAACATAAAAATTGTCAATAAAGTACGGATACGGTACAATTTAGTTGGAGTAAATCAAAGATTCGATAACACCGAACTATTCTGGTTAAGCTAGATCATCACAGCTGAAAAGCAGTATTTAGTGGCTACTAAATTAGGTAT